ATTTTCTTTTTTTTCTCCTTCCTTCCCCCCTACCCCTTTTCCCCTTCCCCTACCCCTTTTCCCCTTCCCCCTTTTCCCTCCTCGAAATAGTCTGGTTATAAAGAGCGGATGGCCTGCAGGCTCGATCCTCCTCTCCTCATAAATAAGCACAACTTTAAATGAAATGATCCTTAGATTAAAAACTATTTTTTTTACGATCATTCATAATAGATTCTGAGAAATAATTTTAGATTCTGAGAAATAATTTTAGATTTTGAGAAATAATTTTAACTTCGGTTCTTCATCTAAATTTGCAGCAACATCTCAGTTCTTCCCGTCATTGAGCAATTGAAAGTAGAGAATGATGGAGGAAGTAACGTATGAAACTTAAAGAATGATGGAGGAAGTAACGTATGAAACTTAAAGAATGATGGAGGAAGTAACCTATGAAGCTTAGAGAATAATGGAGGAAGTAGCGTATGAAGCTTAGAGAATGATGGAGGAAGTAACGTATGAAACTTAAAGAATGATGGAGGAAGTAACGTATGAAGCTTAAAGAATGATGGAGGAAGTAACGTATGAAACTTAAAGAATGATGGAGGAAGTAACGTATGAAGCTTAGAGAATGATGGAGGATGTAACGTATGAAGCTTAGAGAATAATGGAGGAAGTAACGTATGAAGCTTAGAGAATGATGGAGGAAGTAATGTATGAAGCTTAGAGAATAATGGAGGAAGTAAATGTTATGAAGCTTAGAGAATGATGGAGGAAGTAATGTATGAAGCTTAGAGAATAATGGAGGAAGTAATGTATGAAGCTTAGAGAATAATGGAGGAAGTAATGTATGAAGCTTAGAGAATAATGGAGAAAGTAATGTATGAAGCTTAGAGAATAATGGAGGAAGTAATGTATGAAGCTTAGAGAATGATGGAGGAAGTAATGTATGAAGCTTAGAGAATGATGGAGGATGTAACGTATGAAGCTTAGAGAATGATGGAGGAAGTAACGTATGAAGCTTAGAGAATGATGGAGGAAGTAACGTATGAAGCTTAGAGAATGATGGAGGAAGTAATGTATGAAGCTTAGAGAATGATGGAGGAAGTAATGTATGAAGCTTAAGAATGATGGAGGAAGTAATGTATGAAAGCTTAAGAATGATGAGGATGTAACTATGAGCTTAGAGAATGATGGAGGAAGTAAGTATGAAGCTTAGAGAATGATGGAGGAAGTAATGTATGAAGCTTAGAGAATGATGGAGGATGTAACGTATGATGCTTAGAGAATAATGGAGGAAGTAATGTATGAAGCTTAGAGAATGATGGAGGAAGTAATGTATGAAGCTTAGAGAATGATGGAGGATGTAACGTATGATGCTTAGAGAATGATGGAGGAAGTAATGTATGAAGCTTAGAGAATAATGGAGGATGTAACGTATGATGCTTAGAGAATAATGGAGGAAGTAATGTATGAAGCTTAGAGAATGATGGAGGAAGTAATGTATGAAGCTTAGAGAATGATGGAGGATGTAACGTATGAAGCTTAGAGAATGATGGAGGAAGTAACGTATGAAGCTTAGAGAATGATGGAGGAAGTAACGTATGATGCTTAGAGAATGATGGAGGAAGTAATGTATGAAGCTCAGAGAATAATGGAGGAAGTAATGTATGAAGCTTAGAGAATAATGGAGGAAGTAATGTATGAAGCTTAGAGAATAATGGAGGAAGTAATGTATGAAGCTTAGAGAATAATGGAGGAAGTAATGTATGAAGCTTAGAGAATAATGGAGGAAGTAATGTATGAAGCTTAGAGAATAATGGAGGAAGTAATGTATGAAGCTTAGAGAATAATGGAGGAAGTAATGTATGAAGCTTAGAGAATAATGGAGGAAGTAATGTATGAAGCTTAGAGAATAATGGAGGAAGTAATGTATGATATCTAATATATAAATATATATAAAAACACAAGTCTCCCTTGAGAATAAAAAAAAAAAAACGGTATTAATCAAATGACGATTTCCTTTACTAAGAAAAAAAAACGGTCTAGTGACATAATTCAATATACTTAATTTTGTTTTTGTAAATTTTTGTCAATATGGAGGCTGTTTAGTGGGATATGTTTGTTCACGCGACACAATCTGTGTGTGGGTGACTTTGAGTTCTCGTAAAATTACTCTGGCTTGATCAAAATGATTAGCTTGATACACAGATTAATTTGGCGTAATGCACAGATTATTTTGGCGTGATGGTTAGCTTATTTTGGCTTGATGACCAGCTTATTTTGGCGTGATGGCCAGCTTATTTTGGCGTGTGATGCACAGGTTGTTTTGGAGTGAGGTACAGCCATGACAATCTGCCTTACGCTCAGTTACGCAGAATGATAGATTAGCTGTGGTCAAAAGACATACACACACACACACACACCACATACACACACACATCACCACACACACACACACACACACACACACACACACACACACACACACACACACACACACACACACACACACACACACACACACACACACACACAGTATGCCCATATAAACAAGCACACAAACACACAAGTTACACAAACGCACAAGTTACACAAACACACAGACAGGTGCACCAGACTCTCAAGTATAGCCGAACAAGACGAGGTTACCGGAGTTTAACGCTAGCAACCACAAGGTCAGGAAAATTGTGGTCTAAGAGAATGGACCTGAGACGGAATTCAGCTTGATAGGCAAGAAACTACAGATATCTCTCAAGGAGAAAGATCTTGGAGTGAACATCACACCGAACATATTGCTAGAGGTGAAAATAAATTGAAATGCCTCTGTAACAAATGAAGTATAGCTAATCTCTGAATCGCTTGCAGAAACTTCGATTCGAAGTTTTTTAGGGCTCTCTACTACATATGTTACGGCCATCATGGAGTATGCAGCATCAGCATGGAGCCCTCACCTGATCAAGCATATACGATAATTAGAAAAGGTCAGAGGGTGTTAAAACCAAGGAACAATAAGGCCTGTTATCCTGGGTGTAAAGGGGAACAAGGAGCAGAACAAACACAGCTGAATGACTTTGAATTATATTTTCCTTCACCAAGTGCGATTGTAAGTATTTACAAGTATGTACGCTATATACAGTTGGAAATGTATGTGTACAACACGGTAAATCAAAGGCAAAGACACAGCCTGGAGAGAGAATGAACAACCGTGTTCAACCAGCTCTAGAATGGGAATGACAAGGGTGGAAACGTGAGTGGTGACCACGCCACCTCCACAATTGCCAGACCACCTTCTCATTGGCTGAACCTAGATACTGATCTGACAATGGGGACCCATCGCCCGACCCTTAGCACCCGGTTCGTTGGTTGGGGAGGTAACCTTTTAATGAGGATGTGTACATGCACCGAATAAAGGTTACATGTTCTTTGCATGCCACAAGAGGGTTTGCAACAAGACTAATCTCTGACGACATTAGAAGGAAGCAGAATTAGGGGAAACATGATTACGACATGCCTGGTATTCAGAGGCTTTGACACAGCAGACGGGAATAGACTTTTTAAAATGAGAAGTATAATGATGAGAGGTCATAGATGGAAGATAAAGCTAAAAATGTGCTATAGAGACGTTAGAAAACACTTGCTTATTCTCAAGAGGAAAATAAATAGAATGAGCTAGAAGTGGTAGAGGCAAAGTCAGTACGCACTTTCAAGACTAGATACGACAAAGCCAACGAAACCAGAAACCAATAATGCCGGCTATTGCAGTTCAAGAGGCTGGAGGGACCAGGAGCTGAGATTCGACCCCCGAAAAAGACAACTCGCTGAGAACACACACACACACACAGCAATGACTTGCTTTCCTTACTTTTGCCAAGTGTATATAAACTGACGAGTGTGTATCTCTGTGTATATACACTGTGTATATACACTGGGAGTTAACTTTAATCCCAAATTGTCAATACCAATCGCTTACAATATCAAGTTCACAATTGCGCTGCAGTTGCCGCCGACACTGAACACGGATCAACTTGTGTCACTAATTATCTTGCAAACAGTATACACATCAGTGAGATATTGTTGAATGGTATATTATTGTTCCATGTGTGGGATTGAATTATTGTTCCATGTGTGGGAGTGAATCATTGTTCCATTTGTGGGAGTGAATCACTGTTCCATGTGTGGGAGTGAATCATTGTTCCATGTGTGGGGGAAAATAACTGTTCCATGTGTAGGGATGAATTATTGTTCCATGTGTGGTAGTGAATCCACTTAGTTGAAGAATACTGTGAAAATTAGTCAATATATAATATATATATATATATATATATATATATATATATATATATATATATATATATATATATATATATATATATATATATATATATATATAAACAATTATAGAGACAGTCTCGTGTAAAGAACTATAGGCAAAATAAAGGAAACTGTGAAAACAGTTTAATATAAATAGTTTAAAGGCAACAAAGAGAGAGAAAGAGAGAGAGAGAGAGAGAGAGAGAGAGGAGAGAGAGAGAAGAGAGAGAGGAGAGAGAGAGAGAGAGAGAGAGAGAGAGAGAGAGAGAACAAACAGACAGACAGACAGACAGACAGACAGACAGACAGACAGACAGACAGACAGACAGAATTTGTCGATTATCGCTCTGTACGACACTAAGTGTCTAACAGCGCGATTATAACATAAGGGACACATTATCAATATTTCATTAGCAACACCTTAATACATCATCAACACATTGTCATTATTACCCGTCAACACTAAAGCACCTCATCAACTCCTTCACATTACGAAAACAAGACCTACAACACCTCATTAACCTCATCAACACTTCGTCAACACACGTACAGAACCTCCTCTTCAACAGCTCATCAACGTTGCACGAACATCACCCAACATACAATAAACATTCCAGCATCTGAGTAACACACTAACACTGCAGGTAGCGTAAGACTTTGGAAGTCACCTTGTAGACACGCAAGAAACTCCAGGGGCTGTCTTCTTCCCGCAGGGATGTACCGGGAGGAGTGGTGGACCCTGCGAGGCAACGGCGAAGACCTGGAAGATGACGGAACACTCGACTTCGAAGACGAACCGAAGGAGTCAGGGGGAGGAGGGTGCGCCGTCGAGGACATCATGACAGCTCTGGAGGGTTGCATCATGACTGACCTCCTCCCTCTCACTACCTCGCTGGAAAAGACCGTCTCTGGGAAGGTAGGTTCCTCCCTCTCACTACCTCCCTGGAAAAGACCGTCTCTGCGAAGGTAGGTTCCTCCCTCTCACTACCTCCCTGGAAAAGACCGTCGCTGGGAAGGTAGGTTCCTCTCTCTCACTATCTCACTAGAAAAGACCATCTCTGGCAAGTTTGGCTCCTTTCTCTCACTACTTTGCTGGAAAAGACCTCTCTGGCAAGTTACCTTCACGGATCAGCGGTTTCGTGCAGTTAAAGTCTCGTTGAGCAGACAGATGCTCGTGGAAAAAAAAAACTTCGACTTGATATTATCTTACCTGTGGTTTGCATGATTAGGAGTTAATTAGCATCAATCCTAATTACCTCCCACCTATCACATTTCTTAACATTCGCTTAACATTCTTCTAACAATTGCCTAACATTCGCTCAACTCGCCTCTAAAATTCGCTTAGCATTTACTTACCATTTAACTATTTGCCTGCGACTTTAAAATGTTAAGTTAATTCTGAGGGATGTACATTTCTACTGACAACAGAGACTATGATCAAATTTCCCCCGGGTAATGTCCTTAATTAAGAGCCTTGTTTGTCTACTGATTGCTTCGTAGGTATTCCTTCATCGTGTGTGCCTGCAGCGTTAGGAAATGCTTCTTGTTTTGTATGTGAGCAGTATTCGCTCCATGCGCACATCACCCATGCATGTACATGAATGCATATATAAACATACTCACACGCACGCATACATACATACATGCAGTCATACACGAACATAGAGATACACTGGCACACTGGCGCAAGTGTACATACGTACGTGGAGGCACACTCATGTACACTTAGGCTCACAAGAACAGTCAGTCTCCTCAAGATTTCTCTCTTATTTTTCGTTCTAGCATCCTCATCCTCGCTCTCGTCGGCTTTTATAGGAATACTGCTTTGTAAACGAAGCGCTAGACCGTGTGGATCATTCAGATGCAAGGAGTGGTGGAGGCTCGATCCCCCGTCCGCCAAGAGCTCTTCGATTCTCCTATCTTCTGCCCATGTTAGAGTAGTCACGAAAGCGCTTGGAATTTCACTACTCTTTCACAGTGGTTGTTTTGCATATTTTAAAATCACCTATTTACTGTGATCTTATTGCATATATATATATATATATATATATATATATATATATATATATATATATATATATATATATATATATATAATATATATATATATATATATATATATATATATATGAGTGTGTGTGTGTACTCACCTCACCTAATTCACCTAATTGTGGTTGTAGGGGTCGAGACTCAGCTCCTGGCCCCGCCTCTTCACCGACCGCTGCTAGGTCCTCTCTCCTCTTGCTCCATAAGCTTTATCATACCTCGTCTTAAAACTATGTATAGTTCCTGCCTCCACTACATCGCTTGCCAGACTATTCCACTTCCTGACTACTCTATAAATGAAGAAATACTTCCTAATATCCTTTTGACTCATCTGAGTCTTCTGCTTCCAATTGTGACCCCTTGTTGCTGTGTCCCATCTCTGGAACATCCTGTCTCTGTCCACCTTGTCTATTCCACGCAGTATTTTGTATGTCGTTATCATGTCTCCCCTGACCCTCCTGTCCTCCAGTGTTGTCAGACCGATTTCCCTTAACTTTTCTTCATAGGACATTCCCCTTAGCTCTGGAACTAGCCTTGTTGCAAACCTTTGCACTTTCTCTAATTTCTTGACTTGTTTGACCAGGTGTGGGTTCCAAACGGTGTTTTGCGTCCTCTAGTAGGGGGTTGAGGGTGCCAAGTGTAAAAAAGTTTTTTTTGTTTTCCTTATGAGGGTTCCGGAACGCAAATTTTTTAGGTTTCCCCAAGCCCCCAAAATGTCGAAAAGCATTTTTAATCTGGGTTAAACCGTGGGGCTTTGGCAGGGTCCCGGGTATTATACTAAACTCCGGTCTTTCCCCTTGAGTGAGGTTTCCAGTTTTTGGGCCCAAACCTAGCCTAAAACTCTGCTGCGGCCCTTTTTTGCCCTCCCCCCGATCTTCATGATTTTTTTGCATTTGGGCGGGGTTAAATTTAGGAGCCATTTTCCCCTGGACCAAAACTTTCCACCCTGTCCAGGTCTTTTGTAGACCTTTTGGGGGTCCCCCTTTCTGTTTTTAATTTTCTCCCCTTTAAAAACTTCCGTCATCTGCAACGGGGAAACCTTTTTGGTCTACCCCCTTCCTTAATGTCGTTAAACAAAACCCAAAAGAATAGCATTGGCCCCAAGGATTTGACCCCTGGGGGAAACCCCCGCTCGTCATTGGGGGCCCCACTGGAACTTCATCACGGCCCTTTGGACTCGCTTTTGCCTCTGGGGTGTGTGTGGTGTGTTGTGTGTTTGTTGGTGGGGGTTTGTGCAAACAGTCGCAGAAGGGCGATTTTTAAACTATGGGGAAAAGCCAACAAAACACACACCCCACCCCACCCCACACACACACACATAAATATAAAATATATAAAAATAAAATATTAATATAATATATAAATAAAATTTATAAAAATTTATAATATAAAATTAAAATTTATATATATATTTTATATATTTTTTTAAAATATTTTATGGGGTGCCGAATATGAAAAATTGGTAAATTTTGCAAGAATTTTTTTAAAATTTAAGTCCTTTCTTAAATTTTCTCTTATACTTTTAAAGGGGAATATATTTTTTCATTAATGTTGTTTGAAAAAAATTTATAATTTTGCCCAAAAGGAAATTAGAAAACTTACCAAACCCTTATTATAAAAAGAGCAATTTTTTTTTTAGCCAAACCCCAAACTAAATATTTTTTAGATTTGTTTACAAAAATTTAATATTAAACAAACCCCAGTGAAATATTTTTTTTTCGTTAGGTTCAGAATGTTTTTTCAAAATTATTGCATACAAAATTTTCCCATTGCCCTATATGGCAAAAATGAGCTTTGGCCTATTTAAGCCAAGATCGCAAGTTCTCCCCCAATTCCCGGCAGGGACATATTTAATATAATATATATATATATATATAAATAAAATTATATATATATTATATATTTATATATATAAAATATATATAAAAATTTATATTTTAATTTGTATTTAAAATTTATATTATATATATATAAAAACTTGCCAATAAGACAAGCGAAAAATTGTTTTATCTTTAAATTTTCCCGGCAAAAAATTTCTGATCTAACGAAAAAAAATTTTTTACTGTTTTTTGTTTGTTATTAAATTATTGCAAACTTATCTAAAATATATTAAGTTAGATTGGGGCCAAATTAATTTGGCTTGTTATGATAAGGTTAGGTAAGTTTCCAAAGGTATTTTGGGTAAAAAATTTTAAAATTTTTACCCCTAACTAAATAAAAAAAAAATATACGATCTTTAAATTTGTAAGGGGAAAATTTTAAAAAAGAATTAAATTTTTTAAAATGGTTCTTGCTAATTGACCATTTAAAAACCTATTGGGCCGCATATATTTATTTTCAGAGTTGTAGCTAAGGTAGAGTAAGGGGTAGATGCGACAAAAGGGAAAAGATAACAAACGGGCAAGTAAGAGGGGGTTTAAAAGTTTAAACCCAAAAGGGAGGAAGAATTTTGGGGGTGAGATAAAAAGGCCAACTGTTGGGGGGAAAAGGTGGGCTAGTCGAGATAGGAAGTGCGGATGGATTTTTTAAAAAAAAACATTTTTTAAATTCCCGGGGAGGAAATTTGTGTCGAAGAGGGTGGGTACAGAAGGAAAAAAAGTGTTGGTGAATGAAAGAGTAAAGAATTTGTTTTTAGAGAGAAAAAAGGGTCTCTTTTGTTTCCGTTTTTTATAAAAGCAGAAGTGATTAAAAAAGGGGTGGGGAAATAGGAGTAAAAAAAGGGGTTTGAAGAGAGGGGTGATAGAGGGGCAAAAGGAGAGCAATGAAGAGTGGGTCGGGTTTGCTGAAAATAAATTTTGCTGAAAAAAAGGGAAAAAAAGGAGCAAATGCACTTGACAGTTAAAAGCAAAGAGGGAAAATTAATAGTTTGGGGGAGTTGGAGGGGGATTGGGAAGATGGCGGGGAAAAATTTTGAGGAAACCCCTTAAAAAGGGTTTACGGGAAAAAAAGGAGGAAAAAATAGGGAAGTATAACCCTCCTTTTTGGGGGTGAGAAAGCAGGAATTTTGAGTGTGGGGGAGGTGCCCCCGGGTGCACTGGGGGGGAAAGAAAGAGGGTAAAAACAGCTGGAAAGGGCGGAAAACATGACAGAAATGTTAAAAGCCCAAAAGGGGAGGGGTGTAGTGTTTTGGGGTGGGTTTGGGAAATTTTTTTTTAATAAATGTATGAAAGAGGGGAAAAACCCTAGGGATTGGGAAAAGAGCGTGTATAGTTTCCCTTTTGTAAATGGAAGGGGGACAAAAAAAATTGTAAAAAAATTTTAGGGGGGAAAAAGTTTTTTCTGGGAAATGTATGGTAGGGGTTAAATTTTTGAAAGAATTAGAGGTTTAGACAAAGAACCCGGGGGTTATAAAAAGTTGGAAGGGGTTTTAGACCAAAAAAAATTTTTCTACATTGAAGAAATTTAAGTGAGCAAAATTTTTTGACAAGGATAAAGGGGAAATTTTTCGTTTGAAATTTTTGGATTTTGAAAAAAGGGAATAAGTGGGGAAAAGGGGCACAATGTGGCAGATGGGGCAAGTGTTTTTGGGAAAAGGCATAAGTTATAAAAGCTTGAAGAGTTTTTTTTGATATAGTGAGGTTTTAAAGGGTTTTGGGTTTTGGGAGGGAGAGAGGGAAATTACTTCCTGGGGAAAAGTAGGTCTTAACAGGGATGTGGGAATGTCACCATTTGTTTAACATATTTGTTGTTGGGGTTGCTAGGGGGTTTTGGGGGAGGGAAAGGCCTTAAAATTTTGGGGAATCAATACAAAATGGGGGTTTACCCCAGTTAATTTTTTTTGAGTTACGGTTTCTTTCGGGGGAAATCTAAAGAAAAGTTTTCAAAGGTTTGGGACGAGGGTTTGGGGGGGGGTGTGTAAAGGTTTGAAAA